GATGTTGGGGCTTTTAAATAGTTTAATTTTCCTTTATTCCATTTTTTTTTTTTAAGAAAAAAAAAAAAGAAAGATGAAATCATCATGAAACCCAAACATAGAATAAAAGACAGAATCCCACTGTGCTAAAAAGTAGTATTGTGTATTGCTGTTAACCACTGCAACCCAGGTATGTTGCTAGCTACATTTTTTTGTAATAGATAACTTTCCAATCCATTTTTCCAACTCTCGTTTGCTCAAAGATAAAGGGGAAAGAAAAACCTGTGGCAAGCTTGCTGTTGCTGAGGGGTTGATTTTGGGAAATGGAGTTCTTAGAAAGAAATGGAGTTCTTAAAAAGCCTCCCCACACCCCAAGGCATTAGAGTGGTATCGTGCACAGAAGAGAACGTGGGAATGAGCATTGGGGGACAACATTTCAATTCTTTCACACTAATGAATGAGGATACAGTTGTATCTAGAAAGTGCTTTAAAGGACGAGTGATGAGAACTGGATACTATCTGATTATTCCCACATATTTGGGAAAGGATTTTTTTCATATAGTGGACAAATATTTAAGTATTTTTCAAATATAACGTGTCCTCCTAAATGGCATGGAAATCTGTCACGAGGTCTTGGCATAAGGCAGTTGACAGCAACTGTTGTTCTTCCTAAGCAGCAGCGTTGGCACATAAGGGAGTGATAGAAGCATACTCTAAGTACGGCAAGCTGTCTTCTCGATAGCAACAGGAGACCATTTTCAGATCTGAAACTCTATATTCTGTAGCAAACAAACAAAAATAGACAGAAGGATCCTGGTGCTTGGAATACACGTTTTCCCACCAAGCCTATTTATAAAACTGCCTGATAAAAAAGCATATAGAAGAAATTATTGTAACTCGGAATATCTGGGTTGAATTCCCAGCTCTGTTTGCCCTTGAGTGAGCCACTTTAAAACAAACAAACAAAAATCCACCGAGAAAGCCTTTATACCTCAGTTTCCCCACATCTACAGAAATAATAATAATGAGTGATCTCATTTGTGCCTGGAAAGCATGTTGAGCTGATTTCGTGGAAGATGCTAACGAAGTGTCATGCATTATTATTGCATTAGGCTGACTGTACTTCTGAAATCCATCTGACATTTCCCACTTGGCATCGATTGTGAGTGGTAACATTTCTGTATTAATTTTAAAGAGGATGCATAATAGCACTGCCTGATGTATAATTAGACAGTTTATGATTTGAGCGTTTTCTAGGAAAGGCAGTAACCTGTGAGATCCTCTCTCTCTTTTTCACTTCGTTAAACTACCGCGTTACAAAGTGTATTGTTTCATTACGGCTCCTGCCAAGCAGCTCCTTATAGCTACGTGTGAAGCATCGAGGTGAAGTTCATAACTATATTTGGGTATCAGAGCTTATTTCCTCCACTCTCGTGGAGGTTAGCATGACGAGTGGCTGAGGAATGCTAGGGGAAACCGCCGCTGACATGAGCAGGCTGTGCCCGAGCTCGGATTGCCCCTGCCGAATCCTGCTTTGTGTTGCCAGCAGTTAAATCACCAGGTGCCGGGACAGGGCTCGGACCACACAAAACCAGGATCGGATCTGTTCCGTTATCGCGTTGCTGAGACTGGTCCTCTGCGTCGCAGATAACAGCAGCTCTCCCGTACGTCGTCAGCAGTGGGAGCCTAGCGTTGAAGTCAAATACTCTCTGGTCAGAGGTGCCTGGTAGGAGAGGAAGCCTGGAGAGGAAATGAGTAAGTCAGCAGCCCGGCCCCGCGTGTGGCTGTAAGGCAGGGTTACTGAAGCAAGCAGCGGAGCGGGAGAGGAAGTGTTGCAACCACTAACCCTCATGTCAGTCTTGTGTTCTTCTCTGAAACAGCCTCTTCATAGAAAAATCTAAGATAAGAGGGTTTTTGGGCAATGTTACTGCACAGTCAGTGCAAGATGGAATGATCTATTGCTAGTTCTGAAAAGAGGGGGGGCACACACAGCTCCTCCTTAGAGGTGCTCAGCACCCAATGAAAGGGGAGCGCTCAGAAAAAGCAGGCTGTTGCATGAAGTTACTGATTTTTTATCTTCTGTTCTGCATGACTTTTCTATCCTTCACGAACTCGGTATTGTCAATGACAATACATGCTGGAGCTTTATGTTTTCCTGAGGAGTTAAAGATAAGAAAAAGATAAGTTGCATATTTACCTTGATACTTAAAAACTGTGGAAGGGCAATTCCCTATTTCTCATGATATTTACATCAGATAATTTAATGTAAAAAGAATATAGTGGCATGTGTACATTCTTTCAGTTTCATGTGTCTGTCTACATGGTTTTCATTTTTCACAACTGACTCCTGAGCCGTTGGGTCCCTGGAATAATGAGGTGAATGAGAAGAGCATCTTATGGGGAAGGGGGAAACAGAAGCAAGTGGTGATCCCTGCAGAAAGAGAGGAAATTAAATGTGATGTTCCACTGCCAACTGGGTGTTGGTTTGCTATATTGTCTCTGTCAACAACTCTTCACCTTTTTGATTTTTTTTTTAAATATTTTTGAAGTGAAAATACACCTCTTTGACCGCTACCTCCTCTTAATATTTTTTTTTCCACCATGGCATAACGGTTAAAATACAGACAGTCAGTAAATTTTTTGGGTCGCTGATAGGATGTGGATTATCAACCTTTGTTCACAAAACACTGTTTACATTCTTTCTGCTTGTCACTTTTAAATGAATGACAAAAGAATATTATGAAGGGGGTAGGTGGCTGGGTGAAGTCCATTCTTTGAATACTGGATACTTGCAAAGCAGCTGCTAGAACGAAATTTCCCTGGATACTTAATGAGAGGATAGTTCAAATTGTAGTCAAAATTAGGATTGGTACACCAGATTATGTGTGGGTGTGACAAATGAAGAAGGAAAGGCTTGGTAAAGTATTTTTATCTGTAATGTGAAACTAACCTAAAATAATATTAGTGGGTATTAAATTCTGTATGTTCCAGTGGATCAGTTTCATTGGAATACAGAAAATAGTTCTACTTATAGTAAGAGCTCAGAGAATATTTCTCAGATGTTACTTTAGAAGAATGACTGAAGTTGAAATACTAGTAGTAGGGAATACATGATGCTATGGGTGTGGTATGCGTCTTTTATCATCATGATTTCATATTGTTCTAAATATGTATTCATACAATCTTTAGAGACTCCCACATTAGCATTCATTAATATATGGTTACATAGTTGAAGAAACACTCTAGCTACAGTTAAAAAAAGCAAAAACATTTTAATGGAGCCTTTCATGTCACTCATCTGTAATAGCAAAAAAAAAAGGATATCAGTCAGTGAAAACACAGGTGACCGAAGCAGACTTCTGGATGCAGCAGGGAAATTCAGCACCTCATCTAGCAGCAGCATCCTTTGGCTACGGGAGAGCTGAATCCACTTCCATGGAGCTATGTGAAGTTCCAAAGCTGTCAAGAAAACTATAGCTAACTAGCTGGTGATCCACCTGCAGGAGTATGGGGAGAAATAGGGCAGACAAAACAAGTTACAACTCTCTGTCTCTTTTAATGAAGAGGCAGAAAATCTGTGACAAAGGTGCTCAGATAGCAAAGGAGTCCTCAGCGTGTGAACGTGGACTGAGCGGTGATATTTTTGCTGGGTGGAAAGTGGGTGTTGGTTCTCTGGGTAAACCTCTGGACTAGGAATTGCAACCATTTTCCTGCCCTGGCTCTGCCACACATTTCCTTGGTGAGCTAAACAAGTAGTTAATGTCTTTGATTTCTGTTTTTCTGTTTAAAAAAATGGGATTCTGACCCCTTCCTCCCCAGGGTCTGTGAGGTCAAATAAAAGGATGTTTATAAAGTGACCTCATATTGTTTTCATGGAAGGGGTGCAGTTTCAACATTTTCAAATAATAATGTCAGCAGAGAAAGAACCTTAGATATTATATTTACTTATATAGTGATGCTGCCATACATAAACGCCTTCTTTCAGTCGCAACATCCCATGGTAGCGGGAAGGTCTTTACAAGTCCTTTCTTCTAGGGTGGGGAGAAAGGCCACGGATGCCCTGTGAAAGGGATCCAGAGCTGACTGCCAAGGGCCACTGATACTCTCAGGCTGAGACACCTCCATGCTAAGCTCCGCTAGTCCGAGCTGCCTCTGCACGCTGGGACACATTGGGGTGGTGTGAGCACCTCATGGGGTGCACCCTTCCTTTGGTACATAGGTGAAAGCGTCTCCTCCTCTTCATCTCACCCTAAGTGAACCTGGTTCCCCTTGTGCGCGCGCTGTAGGTATTAGCAAATGCTCTCTTTGCGTATGTGTATGCCTTATGAAATGCTTTCAGCCCACCTCCCCACACCTTATTTTATCTGGAGCAGATCCAGAGGAGGGCCACAAAAATGATCTGAGGGCTGGGGCACCTCTCCTATGAAGACAGGCTGATCTTATAGCAGCCTTCCAGTACCTAAAGGGGGCCTACAAGAAAACTGGAGAGAGACTTTCTGCAAGAGCTTGTAGTGATAGGACAAGGGGCAATGGCTTTAAACTGAAAGAGGTTAGATTTTCATTAGATCTAAGGAAGAAATTTTTTATAATGAGGGAGGTGAAACACTGGAACAGGTTTCCCAGAGAAGTTGTGGATGCCCCATCCCTGGAAGTGTTGAAGGCCAAGATGGATGAGGCTTTGAGCAACCTGATCTAGTGGAAGGTGTCCCTGGCCATGGCAGGGGGGTTGATACTAGATAATCTTTAAGGTCCCTTCCAACTCAAACCGTTCTATGATTCTGTCATTTTGGAGGGAGGGGG